AGGGCTTCCTGAAAGAGTTTGTTGTGCGTTTAGACTCGCCCGCTGCTGGCGACGGCGGTTCTTCGCCCGGTTCGTGAGCTGGCGGTGGCGCGCCCGCCTAATAAAACACTCTCCCGCGCGCCTTCTCAGCTCGGCCGGAGAAACAGGGACGGGGGGGGGGAGGTGGAAGGGGGGGGAGGAGGGGGGGGCGGAGGAGGCGGGCGCCCCCGGCTCGGCCGGCCCGCCTGCCTGTTCGGCTCGGCCAGAGGAGAAGGAGGAGGAGGAGGAGGAGGAGGAGGAGGAGGAGGAGGAAGAGGAGGAGGAGGAGGAGGAGGAGGAGGAGGTGAGAGTTGCGAGGATGTCTCAGGCGAAAGTGGCTTGACGGCCCGAGCTCAGGGAATCTCGGAATCGCTGGCCTGGCTCGGCCACCGGCGAGCTCGGCCTGTGCGAATACTGTGCGTACCTGTGCAGTGCATGTGCGGGACGTGCAAGAATGCCGGGGCCGGCGTTCGTCTCCGGACGCCGGCGCGTTCGCATCCGGCCAGTTCCGCGTGAGACGTCGTCGGCAATCTGGAGGCCGACGTGCTTTGACATAGAGTGATCTGGCCACCTTCGCCTGAGACATCCTCGCAACTCTGGTCTCGGAGATGCCCTGCCCCATGGTGGCCTGGCCACTTTCGCTTGAGACATCCTCGGGACTCTGAGTTTCGAGACGCCCTGAGCTGAGGTGGTTAGACCACTTTCGCCTGAGACATCCTCGCAACTCTGACCTCAGAGATCTCCTGCCCCATGCTGGTCAGGCCACGGTCGCCTGAGACATCCTCGCAAGTCTCGATTCCGATATGCCCCGAGCTGAGGTGGTCAGCCACTGTCGCCTGAGACATCCTCGCAACCCTGATCTCAATGATGCCCTGCTCGATAGTGTCTCGGCCCCTTTCGCCTGAGACATCCTCGGAACTCTGGGTTCCGAGACGCCCTGAGTTGAGGTGGTTAGACCACTTTCGCTTTAGACATCCTCGCCCGAGATGCCCTGAGTTGAGCTGTTCAGGCCACTTTTGCCTGAGACATCCTCGCAACTCTGACCTCAATGATGCCCTGCTCCATAGTGTCTCGGCCTTTTTCGCCTGAGACCCTCGCAACTCTGGGTTCTGAGATGCCCTGAGCAGGTGGTCAGGCCAGTCCTGCCTGAGACATCCTCGCAACTCTGGGCTCCGAGATGCCCTGGGCTGAGGTGGTCAGACCACTCTCCCCAGAGACATCCTCGCAACTCTGACCTCAGAGATCTTTTGCCCCATGGTGGTCAGGCCACTTTCGCTTGAGACATCCTCACAACTCAGACCTCGGAGGTGTCCTGCCCCATGGTCGTCTGGTCACCTTGACCAGCGACATCCTCGCCACTCTGGTTTCCAAGATGCCCTGCCCCATGGTGATCCGGCCACGCTTGCCTGAGACATCCTCGGAACTCTGGGTTGCGAAATGCCCCGAGCTCAGGTGGTCAGGCCACTATCGCCTGCGACATCTCTGCGGCATGTGCGGGCATGTGCGTCTATGCTTTCAGAGTTTTGCTTGACCGTGCATTCGACTGTGCGTCGGACGGTGTGGCATGTGCGCGCATGTGCGGCAATGCTGTTGAGGCTTTTGTAAATTTGCATGGGCATGTGCATGCGACTGTGCGGCATGTGCCTGCATGTGCGGCCCCTTCCGGACCACAATTTCAAAGTGAGCACTATAGAAGTGAGCGCTATAGAAGTGAGTCCGGTGTATGGAGGTTGCCACGGCGTGCAGGAGGATTCGATGCTCGTTTCGGGGACCTTCCTGGAGCCCACCTAACGGATCTGTTCGACCCCAGTTCGACTCAAGTTCGACTCAAGTTCGACTCAGGTTCGACTCAGGTTCGACTCAGGGTCGACCCAACTCGACTGACGTTCGACGCAGCTTCGACGCACGAGTGGAGCGAGTGGCTCCAGGAAGGTCCCCAGAACGAGCATCCAAGGAGGAGAGCTGTTATCAGGTGCGCGCGTCCGCCAGACCAGTGCTTGTGCTGTGCCGCCCGTGCTGCTGGTCACTCCTGCAATTAAGTTTGAATGTGCAGTCGGCGTTTCCGGATGAGGAGTCTTTTAGGGCACCTTGTTGTGGTGCGCGTGTTTTGATCCCAGTCTTTTGTGTGCCAGCGCCGGAAAAAGCATATCGTCGTAGATCCTGGAAGTCGACGACGGCCTCGACGGCGACTGGGGGGGGAAAAAGTACCGATGCCGCTACCCCACGGACCTCTCCTGGGTTGCGTTCACCCTATTGCTTCGATGAGAATCCAGCCATGGTGGCGAGGACTCTCCAGGACGAGCGGCGGTGTCGGTACTTTTCCAAGCTTCTTCCCCCTCTGAGCGGCGGCGACGGCGACGGCAACGACGACGACGGCGACGGCGACGACGACGAAGGCCCCCCTCTGAGCGACGACGACGATGACGACGAAGGCCCCCCTCTGAGCGACGACGGCGACGACAGGCAGAGAATAGCCCCCTGCTGACGCCGCGCAGCCCGGCGGCCGCCTCGGGGCGGCGGCAGTCGCACGGCAGCCCCGCGCTGACGCCGCGCAGCTCGGTGTCGCTCTTCGAGGCGGCGGGCTCCAAGGACGCGTCGCCGTGGGGGCACGGGAGGTGGTCCTGCGGCCAGGGGCAGCGATGCAGGGGGTGTTCGCCGTCGGAGGAGCGCGAGGAGTAAGAGTAGGAGGAGGAGGAGGCGGAGGAGGAGGAGGAGGGCCAGTGGAAGCCCAAGAGACATCAACGATGTTGGAGTAAAACCTCTCTCCAAGCTCCCTCGTCATAGCCTCTACAGCGGTTTATCTCCGTTGAAGGAACGGCCTCCTTGGAAGACAACTTTTTGAAGACCCTGAAAGACATGTCAAAACAGTGTTCTCGGGATTCGAACGCCACGGATCAACTTGACTGTTGCGTCTTAACAATCCTGAATCGTGCCAGAATACAGTTCCTGGGACTTCAACAAAGCGAATCAACATAGCTGATGCACCCGCATAATTCTGAATCCTTTCAGAACACCATTCTTGACACACGTTGATGATGGGAATCCGCGAAACCCTCTTGGATTTTTTGTTGAAAACGAATGTGCGCCGCGCTAAGTCGAGAGCCACATTTTGAAAATGATCCGCCCTCAATCCGTGAAGCTCTTGCAAATTGTTACAGCGAATGTGCGCCGCGCAAAGGCGAGAGCCACATCTTGTAAACTACCCGCCCTCAACCCGTGAAGCTCTTGCAATTGTTTACAACGAATGTGCGCCGCGCTGAGGCAAGAGCCACATGTTGAAAGTCACCCGCCCTCAATCCGTGAAGCTTTTGCACATTTGTTACAGCGAATGTGCTCGGCGCTAAGGCGAGAGCCACATTTTGAAAACCACCCGCCCTCAATCTGTGAAGCTCACGCAATTGTTTAAAAGCGAGTGTGCGCCGCGCTACGGCGAGAGCCACATTTTGAAAACCACCCGCGCTCCATTTGTGAAGCTGTTGCCACTTTTCGAGCGTCAGAGTCATAATTGGTGAGGAAGTCTCAGGCGAAATGCTAGGCCCGCCCTAAAAACTGGCCTCGGGGTGCGACAGGGAAAAGTTTTGAATAAGGAAAAGGAATGGATGGAGAGGAGGAGGAGGAGGAGAAGTTGAAGGAGAGGATGAGGAGGAAGAGGAGGAGGAGGAGGAGGATGAGGAGGAGGAGAGGAGGAGGAGGAGGAGGGGGAAGAGGAGGAGGAGGAGGAGGCGCTCTTCGATACGGCCAGTCCTAAGGACTGTGACCATGGAGGAGCAAGGACACCCACGAGGGCGCGAAATTAGTCGCGATTCCTCATCCTCATCCTCATCCTCATCCTCATTATCCTCTGCTTCCAAGGGGGGGCGGCGCGACAGCGCAAACTTGTTCGCGCTTCGCGAAGCGCGAAGCGCGGGCACAGCTGGCGGGAGTGCCCAGATCGTTCCGAACTGCTGGTTGCCCGAGTCATGACCCGAAAACAGACCGGAGGCTGTGCTCAGAGCGGGAAAGCATCGACCCCGAATTGCCCATTCATCGCCGATAGTGACCTGATAGCCCACCCGCCCAGGAACACGCGGTTTCGCTATGGGGGGCGTATCGCCGATCCATCGGCGATGCATCAGCGATTCCAGGTCGATGTTTCCACCCCGAGGCAGTCCCCCCTAACGTTCCTCTTCAGGGTACGTTGTATCTACGGAGACATTGTCTGTCCTGTGAACCGTTTTTTTTCTTGCATCCGACGCGGGTTCGACGTGGACCTGCCGTGTATTGGGCGCTGATTCGACGCGGATTCGACACTTGCAGCGCCGCGATGGGACTGACAAGGCCCCAAGAAGAGGCGTCGCAACGGAGGTATTTCGGCCGCGCCTCATCACCTTCTGGACGCAAGGGGAGGAGGAGGAGGAGGAGGAGGAGGAGGAGGAGGAGGAGGAGGAGGAGGACCGGTGTAAACCCAAGAGGCATCAACGATGTTGGAATAAACCCTCCCTCCAAGCTCCCTCTTCATAGGCCCCTATAACGGTTCATGTTACTGAGAGGACTGCTTCGTTGGAAGACAATTGTTCAAAGACCCTGAAGCATGCCAAAACATTGTTTTCGGGATTCCACCGCTACGGATCAACCTTACCGTTGCGCCTTGGCGATCCTGAATCGTGCTAGCACGCCATTCCTGGGATTCGAACACCGCCAACCAACATAACTTGTGCACCCTTAAAAGCATGAATCCTTCCAAAGCGCCGTTTCTGGCACGTTGATCATGGGAGTCAGGGAAGGTCCTGCATAGGTTTAACACGAATGTGCGCGGCGCTAAGGCGAGAGCCACATTTTGAAAACCACCCGCCCTCAATATGTGAAGCTCATGCAGTTGTTCAAAAGCGAGTGTGCGCCGCGCTACGGCGAGAGCCACACTTTGAAAACGACTTGCCCTCAAACCATGGAATTCTAGCAAATCTTTAGGACGAATGTGCGCGGCGCTAAGGCGAGAGCCACATTTTGAAAAAAGGATGCGCTTTCAATCCGTGAAACTCTTAGAATGGTTTGAAATGAATGTGCTCGGCGCTCAGGCGAGAGCCACATTTTGAAAAGGAACCGCGCTCAATCCGTGAAGCTCTTACAAGTTGTTTAAACGAATATGCGCGACGCTGAGGCGAGAGCCATATTTTGATAAGGAACCGCAATCAATCCGTGAAACCCTTGCAATTGTTTTACAACGAGTGCGCGCGGCGCTAAGGCGAGAGCCACATGTTGAAAACGACCCGCCCTCCATCTGTGAAACTGTTGCCAGTTTTGAAGATTCAGAAGCATAAGTGGTAAGGAAGTCTCAGGCGAAACGCCCGGCCCGCCCTAAAAACTGGCCTGAGGCCAGTTTTTAGGGCGGGCCGGGCGCACCCCGAGGGCCTCGGGTTGCGACAGGGAGAAGTTATCTACAAGGAGAAGAAATGGAGGAGGAGGAGGACGAGGAGGAGGAGGAGGGAGTGCACGAGCTCGCGGGAGGCGAACGCTGCTGGGAGTGCGAGCGCGGCCGGGCCTTTGCTGGCCCAGGCTCGTGCCGAGATCGGCGCGCTCCTCCAAGAGATGCCAGCTCGCTCCCCCTCCCCCTCCCCCTCCTCCTTCTCCTCCTCCTCCTCCTCCTCCTCCTCCTCCTCCCCCTCCTTCCCCTCCTCCCCCTCCTCCTCCTTTTCCTCCTCCTCCCCCTCCTCCTCCTTCTCCTCCTTCTCCTCCTCCTCCTTCTCCTCCTCCTCCTCCTTTTTCCTCCTCCTTCTCCTCCTCCTCCTCCTCCTCCTCCTCCACTCCTCCTCCTCCTCCTTCTCCTCCTCGTCCTCCTCCTCCTCCTCCTTCTCCTCCACCTCCTCCTCCTCCTCCTCCTGATCTTCCTCCTCCTCATCCTCCTCCCACTGCCTCCCTCCTCCTCCTCCTCCCTCCTCCTCCTCCTCCTCCTCCCCTCCTCCTCCTCCTCCTCCTCCTCCTCTCCTCCTCCTCCTCCTGATCCTCCTGATCCTCCTGATCCTTCTCCTCCTCCTCCTCCTCCTCCCCTTCCTCCTCCTCCTCCTCCTCCTCCTCCTCCTCCGTGGGAACAGGGGGTCCCGAGGCGCGTCGCCGTGTCTGGTCTCCCGGGGCCCCGCCACCGCTCCCGGGGCCGTCAGGGAACGGCTCGGGAGGGAGAGCTGGTCTTCGGGGCAAGCCCCAGGGAGCAGGACCCGTGCTCCTCTGGCGCGTGATGATGATGATGATGATGATGATGATGATGATGATGATGAGGAGGAGGAGGAGGAGGAGGAGGAGGAGGAGGAGGAGGAGGAGGAGGAGGAGGAGGCGGGGGAGGAGGAGGCGGGGGAGGAGGAGGAGGAGGAGGAGGAGGAGGAGGAGGAGGAGGAGGAGCAGGACCCTTTTGCTGCATGACCAAGGGGGGATTGAGGAGATCTGGGCCTCCTAGATGGGGTCCGAGTATGCATCGCCGATGCGGCTCGATGTGCGGCCCGACTTGCTTCACGTCGACGTCGCCGATGCATCGCCGACGTCGGCATCGCCGGTGCATCACCGATGCGTCGCGGATGCATCGCCGATGTATCGGCGATGCGGCGCGATCCTCCGACCCCATCTACTCCGACCCCATTTAGGAGGCCTCTAGGAGGGGAGGAGGCCTCTAGGAGGCTTCCCTCGCATCTCCTTTGGCTGGAGCTGCATCTGCTTCACCCCTCCCGCTTGTGTTCTCATCGAGGATCTTTTTTGGACTGCCTGACCTGACGTGAACTCATGACCCTCGTCCATCCCTTCTGGATTACTCCTCCCCGTTGCACCCCCAGACGTGCCAGTGGGGCGTGCCGGCGGGTTCGCCTTAGTTTTCCTCACCAGTTGTGGTCCTGAAGCTGGAAAGCGGCAACAGTTACGAGGATTGACAACCAGGCTTTCTCATAATGGGGCTCTCGTGCTGGCGCCGCGCACCTTTGCCGTGTAAGAGCTTGCTTCAGTGTGGCGGATGGAGCACTGGTGGTTTTCAGAATGAGCTCTCGCCTCAGCGCCGCGCATATTCGTCTTGTGTTGCAACAGCTGCAAGGATGGAGGGGGCTGGTGTTCAAAATGCGCTCTTGCCCCAGCGCTGCGCGCTGCCGTGTGAAGCTTGCAGCCATTACAAGGATGGAGGGCGGTCCTTTTCAAATTGGCGCTTTCGCTGTAGCGCCGCGCACATTCGCTTTAAACTTTTGCAACACATACAGAGGTGGATGATTATTCCTTCTTCAACATGTGGCTTTCGCATGTGGCATCCTTGAAATTAAGAGCCAAAGCCTTGAACAGCCATAGCAGCTGCACGGATGGAGGACGATCATGTTCTGAAATGGTGTTCCCGCGTAAGAGTTCGTCTAACAAGTCCATGGCAAGAAATGTGTAACCAGGAAAGATCGCTTCCGTGTAATAGCACGTAGTGACATCCTCCGTGAACTTCCGACGTTTGTTGCCATTTGGGCTCAGGCGTTTGGCCGTTTCGAACAAAAGGTTGGGCGCCGATGTTGGGCCGTGCGCCCTCGACGCCATGCAGCGTCGGGTCAGCGGGATGCTGCATTGCTGCGGCCTCCTCGGCATGCGCCTGGCGCTCTGGCGGTCGA